GGGCTATATTCACTTAGTAGACCACTTAGCTTCCGCAAGTCTAAAGGTAAGAATATCATCAGCATCTGAGGCCTGTAGCAGAGGTTTCCCTGCTTTGCTGTAAGCTGCCTACCTGATGTTTTCACCAGTGTATTTGAAAAGTGCCTTCATTAATGACTGTCTTTGCTCATTTACTATAAAAACTTCAGGAAACTTACTACCTTGGAACATGGAATTTGGAGTAACCTTAATATTTGACTCCAGAAGTGGGATGTATTGAAGTGAAAGCTGTATTGGAAGAGTATGAGGCAAGCACTCTATGACTGAGCCACATCTGCACTAGAGACCTGGTTTCTGGATTGAGAATAGCAGACTTAGGGAAGAGGACAGCAAAAGGACCCTCCTTCATCATGTTCTATGAGGACAGAATAAATGGTTTTATTCCCTTATGTTTGTATCTTTTCTTTGCTAAAGGGTAGTCTGATCTAGAATGTTTAAAAATACAGAAATGGTCTTGCCTGTCCTGCACCAGATTCTGGGCATGATCTCCAGAACTATCAGCCCTCAACATATACCAAAATAAGGACCTGCCAAAGAAAGAGAGGACTTCCTTTATATCTGTATGGGTAACTGTTGTCTAACTAGGATTACATAAAGTACTGTAATAAGTCTTTAAAAGTGTTGACATTCCAGCTGGTGATGCCAGTCTTCTCTAGAGAGAGGCAGTTCAAGGCCAGCCTTGACTATATAGCAAGTCTTTCTCAATAAATAAACAAGTAAGTAAGTAAGTAAATAAATAAGTAAATAGGCCAAGTTCCCATTAAAAACACAATACTACTACTAATAACAACATGAAGCTAGTAGTTATGAGCCCACTTAACTCCTTGTAGGTATGCCATGTTTGAAGATGCCAGCTACTGCATATGAAAGAGTGGTTTACAGGAGCCCCTCAGAGTGCCACTACATGAAAGTCTGCTTGTAAGTTCAGTCTTGTGAGTTTTGTTTTATATTACTTGTTTTTTACAAATCTGAAAAGCATGGAGTTTAATATACTTTTTCTTTTTAATATTTTTTGCAGAGAGTTTCAAGAACATGGAGTTGGACTGAATGCAGCCCAATTTAAACAGCTGCTTGTTTCAGCCCTGAAGGACCTGTTTGGGGAGGTATGGGTTACTTGGCAAGTTAACATTTTTAAGGCTTTTGTAAGAAATTCTAGAAAAGAGACCCAGGGTATAGCTCAGTGGTGGAATGGTGGCCTACCTCATGGCCTACCTTGGACTGGTCATACCTGTCACTTGGACACACACGTATCATAATTCTAGCATCTGTGATTCTATCACTGGTAGGTGGAATTAGAATAAGAACTTTATAGTTTGTTTGAGACAACTCTTTTTTTTTTTTAAATCACTTGTAGGTGGAATTAAAATAAGAGCTTTTTAGTTGGACAAGTCCTCTTTTTTTTTTTTTCAATTTTTTAAAGTTTTTTTAAAATATTTAGTTATTTATCATGTATACATTGTTCTGCCTGCATGTATGCCTGCAGGCCAGAAAAGGGCACCAGATCTCATTACAGATGGTTGTGAGCCACCATGTGGTTGCTGGGAATTGAACTCAGGACCTCTGGAAGAACAGCCAGTGCTCTTAACCACTAAGCCATCTCTCCAGCCCAACAAGTCCTCTGTATATCCTTGGTTGTCCTGGAATTTGCTCCATAGCCTCGAATTCACAGAGCCATCTACTTCTGCCTCCCAAGCACTAAGATTAAAATTGAGCAACACCACTCTCAGCCTAGAAGATCACTTTGTAAGAAACACAGAAATACCATTTTTTAAAGCTGTACTAGAATTTGCAGAAGCCAACTTTCAGAAATAATGAGTTCACTGTTCCCTGTATTTGACGAGGAATCTGTTAGACCACTGTTTGTTCTTGCACAATGCTATCAAATTATAGTCTAGACTGGTAACCAGCAAACATCATTGCCCATCTTTGTAAAGATAAGGGGTTTATATGAGAGCTAACATGCTTAAGTGAAAAAGTCTCTTTATAAAACAGTGTGAGGGTTGGCAAGAGTTCAGTTCCTGGAACCGACATGGTGGGAGCAAAGAACAAACTCTTGAGAATTTCCTTTTACCTCCACACACATGCAGTGGCACATGTGCACATGTATAGACACATACACACATGCACATGAGCAAACAGACCTTGGTACATGTTCAGTGACACATTTACATGTGGGGAAAACACATAAAAATAGATAAATCTTAAAGTAATAAAAAACTAAGAGAGTGTGAGCAGAAGTAAAAACTTAGTGATATTGGTTGATATTCTGATGTGGCTTCTTAGCCTGTTGCAGACCAGCACTTTGAGCAGCTTTGTGTTAGCATTCACTTAACAAAAGTTGAGCTTTGGAAGTGGAGAGGAAGAAGGAAAGATAAATTATAGGTTGGGGAAAATATTTAAAAACTATATATCTGACAAAGAAATATTACCTAGAATATTATAAGAAATTCTCAAAAAAATAAAATAAGCTGGGTGGTGGTATCGCACACATTTAATCCCAGCACTCAAGAGGCAGAGGCAGGCAGATCTCTGGGTTCGAGGCCAGGCTGGTCTACACATCAAGTTCCAGAACAGCCAGGGCTACACACAGAAACCCTGTCTCAAAAATTTAAAAAAAAAAAAAATGTAATTCAAAGCAAAAAACCTACCCTTGCTCTTGCAGAGGACCCTGTGGTTCCCACTACTCACTATCATAGTCATCTGTGGTACATAGCCATCTGTAACTCTAGTTCTATGGAATCTGATCTCCTCTGGCCATCTCAAGCACCAGGCATGCACATGGTGCACAGATAGCATGTAGGCAAAACACTGATGACATATATAAAAATAAGTCTTAAAGAAAAGTAATGCTGCACATGAGTGTTTACCAGAAGCTGAAAACATCACAGTTGTCCTTTAGTGGGTGATTGTCCAATGATTGTATATTCAAATCATGGAATATAGTCCTCAGAGAAAAGGACAATGGGTAGACAAATCTCTAGAAAACTAAGCTGAATAGAAACGGCCAACCTTAAGTAAATTACTTATTGGGTAATTCTTTGTATATAATGTTCTTGCTACAACATAACTTGAAGAAAGAAGTGGTTGCCGGGGCTAGGGATGGAAAGTAGAGTGTGTATGACTATAAAGTACCAATAGAAGGAGTCTTGTGGTGGTTCAAGTTTTTGTTTTGGTGGTGGTGGTAGTTCCAAGAAACCACCTATGAGGAAAAGTTATGTAGAAGTACACACATATAAATATAAATGCACACAAATGATGTCAGGTCTAAGTAAATTCTGAATTGTGTCAATACCAGTTACCTGGCTTTGATTCTGTACTGTGGCTATATAAGATGCTGCTTTTAGAGCCTGAGACAAAAGTGCATGAACTTCCCTGTAGGTTGCAGCAAATTAAAAAATGAAACTTCAATTTCTATATGTCATTAAAAAATTGTAGTTTTAGGAGATAGAGCTGTACGACATGGTGTCTATCTCTTGGTGTTGTTAAATAGTGACAAGGAGGGGAGAATTATGGAAGAACAATGTATGGGGTCTTGTGAAGAAAGAGCACAGTAAGTAGATTGAGCCTAATCTTGTGAATATGCGAAGGAACTTTTTAAACATTTTTCTGTGTGTGCATTTGTGTGTGGGGGTGTACATAGGTAACTTGTGAGAGTTAGTTCCCTCCTTTTACTGTGTGGATCCGGGGTATTGAACTATGGGGATCAAGCTTAGGTCTTCAGGATTTGTGCCAGGTGCCGTTACCCACTGAACCATCTCACCAACTGGAGAAGGAACACTTTACAGATTCAAAGGTGAGGAGGTATCATGAAGAGAGATAGGTACATTCTAGACAGTAGGAGTTCTTATCAGGCACATGAGAGTACCAGCACCATTATTTGAAATATTGATTTTATCAGAATTTACGAATGATGACAGGAGTCTGTTCCATACCTAGATTGGTGCTGCTTTGCCTGTGGACGTCCTAACCTATGAAGAGAAGACCTTGTCAGCCATCTTGAGAGTATGCAACAGGTATGACAGTGAAACAGTTCTAGAATAACAGGGCAGAGGGAATGATGGAATAACACAGTGAAGAGGCTTCCAGGACGAGAGTGCATGGCTAGGAACTCTGAGCAGCTAATATGAACATTCCTCTATGTGGGATTATACGCTAGATAAGAGAAAACCTTGGTTTGATCACAGCCAGTTTCCCAGTTGATGATTATGGTTTTAAAGCCAGAAATGTGTACACTTTAGAAAGATTCTTGCACTCAATTTGTTCTCCATCCTGTGGTACATTCTTACTTCTAAGGTTCTGTTTTATTTAAATGAGGCTTCTGTGTTTGTTTTTAACGTTCTAGACAACCACAAGCAAAAGTACTAGGGAGCTGTTGGCAGCAGAAATCTTTATTTGTGCTTTCTTGTTCTTTATACAGTGGTCTGGCTAAATTGTGGAGCTCTTTGACCTTGTTCGGAGCCTATAAAAACAAGAAGTGTGCTTTCAGAGTGATTCAGGTAAAGGCTTTTCCTTCATAATTCCAAGGAGGACTGAGCACTGTAGTCATGTGATCTGGATGTGTGCACCATTTTTGTCTTGAGTAAAGCAAACAAAGTTAACATCTAGCAAGGGCAAACCCAGAATCTCACTGCCTCTGAAAGGCAAAGTGGTCAGATTTTAGGTCACATAGAAGATGTTTGGAGGTCAAATTTGGAATTTATGGTAAAGGCTTTTTTCATTGAATGCTGTGTGCAGTGTTATCTTGGCAGGCTGTTTCTAGGCGTACATACTTGTTCAGCCAGTACTCCCTCCAGGGTGTGCCTTCAAATGTGACTACTGCAGTGTTGTGCACCCTGTAAAGCCTGCATGTTTCTGTGTTGCCTGTTGTCTCTATGAAGCTTGAGTTAACCTTTTCTTCTTTTGTAGGTGTCTCCCTTTCTCCTTGCATTATCTGGTAATAGCAGGGAACAAGTATTGGATTGAATACTCTTACAGTTCCAGAACCCTCCACTCTCAACAGTATCTTTTGGTGTCTACATAGATTGAGAAAAGAAGCAGGCTAAAGCACTGTTGATGACATTTGGAGATACTGAAGATGTTCTCTGTGGTTTCTGGCCATCGTCTCTGGTGGAGACTGTGGCTAAATCACCTGGTACCAACAGGGCAGCGCTTTCAGCATGTGCACATGAGGGTTGGAGACCGTGCTGAGCTCAGCAGAGCCTTCACACAGCAGGATGTGGCCACCTTCTCAAAGCTGACAGGAGATGTCAATCCTTTGCATTTAAGTGAAGAGTATGCAAAACACACCAAGTTTGGAAAGACAATTGTGCATGGAGTTTTGATAAGTGGACTTATTTCTGCTCTCTTGGGTACTAAAATGCCGGGGCCAGGCTGTGTGTTTCTATCCCAGGAAATTAAATTTCCAGCCCCTTTATATATTGGAGAAGTGGTTTTAGCATCTGCAGAAGTGAAAAGGCTGAAGCAGTTTGTTGCTGTGGTCGCAGTGTCCTGCTGTGTAACAGAGAGTAAAAAGACAGTTATGGAAGGTTGGGTTAAGATTATGGTCCCAGAAGCTCCTGGTGCTGAAATGCATATTTAAAGTTGTAAGTTCAAACATCTGTGCTTTTGCTATGAAATGTCATTTGTGGGCTGTTGCTCTTCATGAAGGAATGGCTGGAATACCTGGAAGCCACATGGGAAAGGGGAACAAGCAGACAGATTGTTTCAATGTCTGCTTTCCAGATTGGGCTTTATGCTCTACCCAGACTTAAGTATGTACAAGATTTCGTCATCTCTGGAGATTTGGTTTTTGTTTGTTTGTTTTTTCTAATTATAAAACAATTGAGAGGGGCTGGAGAGATGGCTTATCAGTTAAGGTCACTGGCTGCTCTTCCAGAGGATCTGGGTTTAATTCCTAGCACTCACAACTGTTTGGGGATCCAACACCATCTTCTGGCCTCTACAGAAACTATATGCACATAGTGCACAAACATACATATAGGCAAAACAGTGACACAAATACAGCAATAATAAAATAAAAATTAAAAATCTTTTTTAAAAAATGAGAATCTATCTGCATGTTTTACTTTCAGAATTTCAAACGTAGTTATATTTGTGTTTGATAACACCTACCTATATCTGTGTTGAGGAAGTTTTTTTTATTGAATTTATACCACCATGGGCTTAGTTACTAATTGCAATGATGGAAGTAGGGTCATCTTTGAACACCTACTCTTTACCGTTAAATACTCTTAACCCTTTCTCCATGATTTTTGGATTAGGGTTATAATTCCTTACTATTTACACCAAGATGTAATCTTGTGGTGGATGTGGTGGCACATGCCTTTACTCCCCACTTGGGAGGCAGAGGCAGGTGGAGCTCAAGGCTAGCCTGGTGTGCTTAACAAGTTCCAGGACAGCCAGGGCTACATAAGAGACTGTCTCAAAAAAAAAAAAAAAAAAAAAATGCTGTGGACTTCAACCTTCTATGTGACTTGCCTTTCAGGTAGTTTTTGCTATTATGGGAGAGGGATTTACATACAGCCTTGACTCAGTTATGTAAACTAATATGGTGCAGTATTGTTGGAAATAATAGAAACATAGAATAAGCAGAGGGCCAGACCTATAAATAATAACCAATATACTATCCTCCCACCCTGGTCTCCCATGAGTGAGGTTAGGGGTTTTTCTGAATTTGAAGCTGGCTGTTGTACAGTTGAACAAGTTGACATGTAGATTTTTCAGGAAGTAGGCCAATAGTTTCTTTTAGCGTTTTAACCCTGAAGAGAAGACTCTGGGGGCAAAGGCTCTATTTTAGGGCTCTGATTCTTCTCTCCCTGTCTTGAAAATGTGGGTTTACTTTAAAAGCAAAACATAGATATGTGGTATAAGGAGTAAGGCATCACTGTGGTGATGCATGCATTTAATTTCAGGCATAGGCAGGAGGATCTCTGAGTTTGAGACCAGTCTGGTGTACATAGCAAGTTTCAGTACTATATCAACCCTGTCTTGAATAGGGAAAGAAAAAAGGTATAAGTATATGGTGGATGAGGGAGGCCAAGTTTGTTTTTTTAAGAGTTTGGGAGTCTAGGGAGAATGTGCTTTTTAAGTACTTTTTAAGCAAGTATCTATATATACTTGTGGTCTGACTGTGCTCAGTATGTTAAATGGTAACTGACCTTAGCTAGATGCTTTGATTAGAAATACAAGATCAGCAGGCCATAGCATCATTTACTTAGAATTCCAAAATTTACTACTAGGAATTTGAGGCCAGCCTGAGCTACACAGCAAGACTTTAAAGGAAAACCAAAGATCGGATGTAGTTAGCAGTTCCGTATTTCCTGGAAAAGGCATTCCTTCTGGTGGTGTTTTGGTGTTCTGTTGTGTTTATTTGTTTTTGTTGGTGTTTTTCGATAGAGTTTCTCTGTGTAGCCCTGGCCATCCTGGAGCTCAATCTGTAGACCAGGGGGCCTTGAACTCGGAGATCCGCCTGCTTCTGCTTCCTGAGTGCTGGGATTAAAGACATGTGCCACACCAACAGGCTCTGGTGGTGTCTTAAGTAAACAGATTTTTGTGGGTATGTGCTTGTTTGTGCATGTGGAGGCCAAAGGTCAGTTAGATGTCTCTCACTGGCCTGGAACTCAGTAATTAGATGAAGCTGTCCCACCAGTGAGCTCAAGGAATCCACATGTTCTTCCCCAAGCACTGGATTATATATAAACACAAGCCACTGTGCCTGCTTTGTTTGGTTAAACATGGGGTTGAACACAGGTCCTCAGTTACTCAGCAAGATACTTTGTCAACAGAACTCTCTGTTCCAATAACCAGACTGGAACAGTTGAGTAGATTACTAGAAAGAATTATTGTAGTCACTAGAGGGCAGTCATGTGTCTTAAGTGAGTTAATTATAAACCTATTACACCTTCCTCCAGTATGTGAGGGTGAGAAGCAAACACCGAAGTCAGTGTCAGGAGCTAAGGTACTATTGTAAGTCCCAGAATGGGCAGCATTGCAGACTGAGTTCATCTAAGGATGACAGTTCTAGGCAACTCACTAGACTTGATGAAATGTGTTATATATCAGAAGAAAATAGAGAACTCTGGTCAGTGCACACTCCTGCAGAACTCATCCCTTAGGATTCAACAGCAGTCTTAAGTGTGGATCCATAAATGGAGCAAGATGTGATTTTTTTTTTTTTTACGTTTCTGATAAGCTAATTTTCTGCATTTAATATAATTCTTGAAACAGATTTATAAAGTTAATGGCCCCATTTTATTGAGACAGAAGCAAACTGATGCTGTATAGCTGTTGTTAGTTGTTTTTGGTCTTTTGGGGGCTTACCACCCAGGTCCCAAATAAATCACACACGGAGGCTTATTCTTAATTATGAATGCCCGGCCTTGTTTCTTGCCAGCTTTTCTTAACTTTAAATTATCCCATCTACCTTTTGCCTCTGAGCTTTTTCCTTTTCTTATTTCTGTATATCTTTCACTCTTACTCCATGGCTGACTGTGTGGCTGGCCCCTAGTGTCCTCTTCCCTGTGGTGATATATTGTGTATCCTAATAAACTTTCCTGAGGATCAGATGACAGAGCCAGGCAGTGGTGGCACACACCTTTAATCCCAGCACTTGAGATCTCATTCCTTTGCTTGGAAAACACACTCACCTTTAATCCCAGGAAACATGGCAGGGCAGAGAAAGGTATATAAGGCACGAGGAAACAGGAACTCACTCTCTTTAGGCTGAGGATTTCGTAGAGGTAAGAACTAGTGGCTGGCTGCTCTGTTTCTCAGATCTTTCAGCTTTCACCCTCATATCTGGCTCTGGGTTTTTTGTTTTGTTTTGTTTTGTTTTTTAATTTAAAGACCATCTAAGATTCAAACAATACCTCCCCTTGTTCTCTTGCTCCTCCTTTTCCTCCCAGATTTTCCCTTCTATTTATTCTCTCTGCCTGCCAGCCCCGTTTATCCTTTCTCCTGCCTCACTATTGACTGTTCAGCTCTTATTAGACCATCACGTGTTTTAGGCAGGCAAAGTAACACAGCTTCACGGAGTTAAACAAATGCAACATAAAGGAATGCAGTACATCTTTGCATCATTAAACATGTTCCACAGCATAACAAATGTTAACACATCTTAAAATAATATTCTACAGTAATAGAGCTAGATTCAAGGTTGAACTTCCTTTTTCCTACCACTGTGGATCTACAGTGTTTTCATTCCTGGAGCACTGTCAATTTCAATAGCATTTTGTTAAAATAGAATTCTTACGTCTATTCAGATTGATATTCTCTGCTATAGTTGTAGCAATTGTTGAAACCATTCTGTGCCTATGGTTTCTACCCAATGCCTGTCCCTCACCCCCACCCCCCAAAACAGTCGTGCCACATAGTCTAGACTGGCTTTGAGCTCAACATCTTCCTGTTTTAACTTCCCAAGTCCTGGGAAAACAAATGTAACATTGTGCTTGGCCACCTACCTTTTCCTAAATGACATTCAGAGATTTTCAGAGGACTAAAGCTCTAAGGATCAGCTAGATGGAAAGAAAAATTAGAGACAGGCAGTGGCTGATGCCTAATTCTAGCAATTCAGAGACTGAGGCAGGAAGATAGGCTATCTGTTCCAACCAACCAAAAGAAAAGGTTATGTAAGCCATGTGGGGAGTAGAGAGGGATGTCACTTTGGCTAATAGCTGATTTACACTGTGACTTCAAAAGTAGCTTCTCATTTAGAGCATTTCCACATTATTAATAGTCTGGGGTGGTCATGAACCTTGGTCTCTGTTAAACAGAGTAGAGTCAGTAGCCTAAGTGGTGACTCAGCCATGGCTGTCAAGCTGCTCATGCTCTGTTAAAGCAACCACCAGGAGAAATGATCACTTGCTTTCTCAAGCCCAGGGGCTGATAATTGAGAGGGAGCTTTAATTATATTAGGTCACATATGGAAGTGAGTGCAAAAGTAATGACTGAAATAGGGCATTTTGTCTAGCACTTTCCATATTAGGGGCATTATAAGACTGTAATTTATGTGATACTTGATTGGCACAGCAAGAATAGCCATCTTAAGCAATTTTAGCCTAATGTACTAGAAATTTGCTTAAGAGACTGTTATATTCTGTTGGAAACATTTCCATATTGCTGAAATGCCACTCATTTTTTTTTCCCCAGCAGCAAATCTTAGATTAATAGGTGGAGCCTCACCATGGCCACCATTTATCTTGTGAACCTGTCTTGTATGTTCCTCTAGAAAAAGAAATGTCTAAGTGTACACCAGTACCTCTGAGATAACCATGGGTTTTCATTTGGGACCAAACTATTAGTCATTTTTCTTTTATGTTCCTAGAGTATAATTCACAGAGCTTAAGAAAATTGCTGTTAAATCACATCTATTAAAGATTTATATTAAAACTGTCACTCTGAGCAACTCTGTGAGTGCCTCATGTACTGGCATAGCTCATTGACTAGCCCCAGGTCAGCAGAATCAGGGTGCTGTCCAGTTACTGCCATGGGTTGCATGGCTGCCTGCATGTGGTGCCATCTAAGGGCTCCAGGTGCTTTATTCTATATTCTTTGCTTTCATTTGTATTGCAAAGAGCAGAATTCTCAGCATCTTCAGAGAAAGTTGGAGTTGGAGCAGAATGAGCAGCTAGAAGAAAACCCAAATAATATGTACACCAGTCAAGCAAGATTAATAGATTCCACAAGCTTTATTCCTAAAGTGGCTCTTAACTGTAAATTGTTTTGACATTATACCCTTGGACAGATTTTCCCAGTGTTATCATAGAAAATGTCAACATACAAATGACTATGAGTTGAATTTTGTTTAGTATCCAGACTATGAATATTTAAAGAAATGAAGGCATTTGGAGTTGTAAGACCACTCTGCTTAGGAAATACTGAGTTTTCACAAGCTTCTGTGATCTGATTTGTATAGCAGTTGTCAGGCCTAGAAATTTCCTCACTAAAATCCATTATGTTCAATCAATCTGGTCAAATCTCAGGTTGTTAGATAAACAACCCATGAGCCTTCTAAACATTTGGCAACATAGCAGAATATAAAAATCCTCTTTTCTTCTGTTGTCCTGCAAGTAGTTGTATGTATGCAAAAAGCAAAACGATGACATTCTCTCATTCCTTATTTATTCAGCCCAAGACTAGAAAAGCAAGTCTGATTTGAATTAGATCAGCTCTGGCCTGGGAAGAGCTTTCCCATATTTTGTCTGTGACATTTCAAATGCCAGACAGAGCCAGGCACAGAAGCTTGCATCTGTAGTCAGCCATTTGGGGCTCAGGCAGGAAGGAGAACCATTGGATCCCCAGGGGTTCAAGGCCAACACACTAATTTAAAAAAACAAAACAACAACAACAAAAAACCCCACAAAAGCCAGATGACTATTTAGGTTATCATGGGGTTTCGAGTCTGGTCTGTGTGTCTCAGGATACTCAGGGTTGCTGACAAGGAACTCACTGAGGTGTAGGAGAAAAATAAGCTTAGCAGAAGTGTTTGCACTAAGGGCCTTCCGAAAGAATCACAGAAGAAGGATAAGGAAACACTGAGCTTGTCCCTGGCTTCCGTCAAATATTTCTCACTTTCGGTTTCTCTTTCCTGGTAAAGAAGACAGGCAAGTCACATTTCATGACATGTGCAGCCCAGGTCTTCAGTTGTAATTTCTTTTCAGTCCCTCCCCTTCCAGAGAAAAAAGCATTCAAATTCCCTGTTCCCATGAAAGGCTGTGCTGACATCCTCCTAACTAATATCCTGCAGTTATACTTAGCCTTTCGTTCAGGTATACCAACATTAGCACAATTCGGTGCACTCAGTAATCCTGCCTGCTGAGGCTGTCCCAATCTCCATACCACAGCTGAGGAAGGTGAAGCAAAGTGAAATCAGGCTGCTGGGTACCTCTGGAGCTGGTGTAAATCTAAGGAGTCAGCTTAGAATGTGGACCTGTAACCATGACTAGCACTCTAGTTTCTTCTTCAGATTTGTGAAGGCAGGTTTTGCTTAGTTCTTGATTCTAACCCAATTTTTCTTTCCTCTCAACGCAGTCTTCTTCCAAACCAATCCTTTCTTCCTTCACCCACTCCATACCCATTTCCTGCTCCCCTACCCCAGTACTTTTATCCACTTACTACTCACCTTAAGGTGATACCACAAAAGAAAGACTGTCTGTAAGTGGCTGCTGCAGTCTGAGTGACTCCCCAAGGTTTTCAATCTGTGCTTTGAGAATGTCTACCTTAGTTGTCAGGAGAATGTCCGTCATAGCGGAATGTGAAGAACTCTCTCTGCTAAGCACCTCCTGCCCAGCTTATCACACATCCTTGTCTCTTGCTGCTTCAAGCTACATGGATCCCTGGAGTAGCCTGTGACTTTATGCCATATTTTTTTTCTAGTTTATGTGCCTCAGAAGCTTGACAGGTGGCATTTGTCCTTTTTTTGTTTTTTTGGTTTTTTTACTTTCCTATGCCTAACACAATATTTGGTATCCAGTGTATGTTCTGTAGTTCAGTAGGTTTCTGATAAAATCGTGAATGGGGCTGAAATTATAGCTAGCATGCAAAAGGCTGGCTTCTTGAAGACCCCACTCAAACCCCACATCCTTAATGAACTGCCCCACAGTCCACTAGTTTTCATGACTGTTTTATCTCTTATGCTCCTGTGGTGGCTGGAGCCTCAATTTCAGTACCTTGCAGGCATTGTCTCTAACAATCTTTCCTTCCTCCTATAGTATTGAAAGACTGGACTGGGAATGTAGGTCAATGGCAGAACACCTGCCTAGCATGCATGAGGCCCTGGTTTTGAACCCCAGCAAAACCAAAAATCCCACTCATTTTCTGGTTTTTCGTTTGTGGACCCTTTTGTATCCAAAGTCAAATAGCACAACTGCCTCATTTTGCTTGTGCAGATGCACTGGAAATGGAGATGAGTACCAGTTTGCTAGATTCAGAGAGGTATCTTCTCAACCTTGGAAATGTATGTTTTGAAACTTGTGGTTTGGTAGAGCACTGGACTATGGTTATATAATATTTTTGTTTCCTAATCATAAAAATAAAACATTGTAATTAAAGGCATTTTGAAAAATATGGAAAAAGTCATGGTTCTGTTTCCTACAGGAAGCATTTTGGTTTATTTTCTTCTGGTGTTTTTCCTGTAAATGCATTTGGCTTTACAGATAGATGTATTGCTTGTTTCACTTATTAGATCAAGAATGTTCTTGAATATCATTAGATATTCTTAAACTGGTTGTGGTGCTAATGACTGATCCTAGGGCCTTGTGCAAGTCAAGTACATTTTCTGTCTATCACTGAGCTATACCCTTAGCAAATAATCTGGGTTTTAGCCTTGCAAAAATGGATGATTATACCATGATTTGTGTAATCTTATATTGTGGATTAGATGCTTATCCTTTACATGTTATACCTTTTCAAAAATCCCTCATTACTTTCTTAATATAACCCTCTTAGAGGCAGAATTAGTCTTAGGGTGAGATATTTTCATATCCTTCATGTGTATTATTAAATCTCAGTGCCACCACTCAGCTTATTATGTGGTAGATACTCAGTAAATAATCGCTGAGTGAATTAATGCCTTCACTAAGCACACACCAGCAGGAGGATATGAGTATGTATGACCTTGTCTATTCTCCATCCTAATAGGAGTAATAATGCAGGATTTGGGTTTCTGGTACTCTGACAATTGAAATACTCCATTGCCTTTAGACAAAGAAATGGAGGGAAAGAGTTGTGTCCTTCTTAAGTGACACATGGTTTAGCTTTAATAGGTTGCAGCTTTAAAGCACATTGAGATAAAAATGAGATGTAGGAAGAGATCTCATTTATTTAGGGCTAAATTAAGAAGTTACATTCCCCGTATTTCCCTCTACTGAGCACTGACCTTAAAGGCGATCTGTCATTATCACTTGGCTACTTAGGATTGCCCAACAATCTCTAAGCTTAACCATTTAGTACAATCTAGACCTTTGTTATGATGTCAAATTGCAGTGGTGGTGGATTCACAAAAAAGCTTTGTTTCTATGAATGAAATAATAGAAATTTAATGGCAACAAACAACACTTAGAAATCTCTGTTCTGTGCATTGTCAGATTGTAATGTATATTGTTCGGTATCTTTAATATCTGCAAATTACTTTCCAATCCTGTTCATTCCTATTACACTTTTTACATAGATATTTATTCAGTTTTGCCAATGGAAAAATGAGGTTTCGGGGTGTTACTCAAGGTCATACAGTTTAAGTAAATGCCAGAGCCAGAAGGTCCTGGTCATCTGACCTAAGTTTAATTCCATTATTATCCTTGAAAATTGTGATCTTGGGTTAAGGTAATCAGGGTAGATTTGATGCTGAGAAGTTGATCTTCAAGTTTGATGATTCTAAGTTTGAGGTTCTTAGAGCCAGAATGCTAGAACCAAAGACTCTTAAGAGTCTAAGAGCTCTTGGGATTTGAAGACCTTTGGGCTCAACAGAGAAGTAGGAGCCAAGCATTGAAGCAGGGAAATCTTTGCATCCGTTACTTTTCCATCCCAGTTCATGTTCTGGAATCAAACACTGTAGGATCCAGTTACGAGGGTGCATGCAGCAGCTACATTCTCCTGAGGATCCAGGTTCAAAACCTGAATCAGGATTTGGTTTAGAAAGTTTGGTCTATAGGCTCAGACTGAGGGTCCTCCCTGAAGGTGTTTCCTGAGCCCTAAGGCCCTTGGGCAGGGGAGATGTGATAGGGAGCAGTAGAGTCTCAATCTGTCAATCTGAGCTTTTCAAAGTCTCATCTGAAAAACTCAGTTCTGTCATCTGAAAAACTCAGTTCTGTTGGTTTCCAGGGCTCTAGATGCAGTGTCTAGATCTGAGGATTCCTGGTGGTGATGGTTTAGTTTTGTGCTCCTGGGTCCTGGGCCAGGTGCTCACGGTACTGGATGTACGATGCAGCAGCTAGGAGGTGCCAAGACAGCAGCGACACAATGCCTCTGACAGCAGCAGCATTGGGACGTTCAAGAGCCTGCAGTCACTTACCTATAACATGGCGCTAGGACCCAGGGGGGTCGGGCGAACGGGTGTTGACAGCCATCGGGCTGAGTCGACTGGCGTTAGGACCCGGCGGGCGGCGTCGGCGCGTGGGGCGGCGCGCGTTGACAGCAGCGGCGGCGGGACGCGGCGGGTGGCGGGGCTCGGCGCCTCCGGTTCCTGGCCCGGCTTGAGAGGCGGCGGCGGCGGCCCGGGATGGCTTTCATGGAGAAGCCGCCGGCCGGCAAAGTGCTGCTGGACGACACGGTGCCGCTGACAGCGGCTGTCGAGGCGAGCCAGAGTCTGCAGTCGCACACGGTGCGCGGCCGGGGCGGGAGGCCGGGGCCGAGGGCGGGGGCCGGGCGCAGGCCGGACGGCGCAGCGGGGCGCGGGCACCGGGGCCGGCAGGCTCCGGGGCCGGGCAGGTGTGTGACCCTGCCGCCCTCCTCCTGCTCAGCCGCGGCTCGGGTGGCGTGCGTTCGCATCTGAGACCCCCTGGAGTGGCATAAGGGTGCCGTAGGTACTCGTAGTAAACACAGGCGAGTTCATTTCGCCTACATACAGTCTTTTATGGGTCTTTAAAGCACGCTTGTTTTCATTTGCCCGTACAATTTTTCTTTTGAAAGGCGCTCTATGCATTGTAATTTACAAGCAATAAATCCAGGAACCAGTAAAAACTGGGGAGCAACTAGCCTCTGGGACTTTATTGAGGAAATGATAAATGGGGTGGAGGTAGGAGTGGGATTCCTTAGATTGGAGTGTTTTGTCAGGCCACCAAATCAGATTCCAGCTCAGAGGCTTGTTTTTTTATCATGGCAACGTTTGGGGGTTTATCATTTGGAGGCTAAAGCCCCCCCCCCCCCCGTGTGTGTGTGTGTGTGTGTGTGTGTGCGCGCGCGCGCGTGCACACGAAAGTTCAGAGACCTTTCATTCTGTTGTATTAAAGCGGGACTTTTTTGAACCCGTTTCCTCTCTATAGCCTTGTTTTGTAGGTCATGTAATTGTTCAAAACATTCGTCCTCAGAGAAATGACTATCTTTTTAAAAAGTGCACTTTGTCTCCCTCTGCTAACATCTTAAGTCCTAGTCTAGAAACGTGTGAAAAGGCACCAAACACCCATGAGTTTGTTAAAACTTGTAATTGTTGTAAAGTGAGTGTTTAAAGGGCCAAGGTTTAGGGCAGGAAGTAATCATTCTTTCAAATTATATTTTGACTGGATTACTGGCAAGTAAGTCTTAGACAATGTGTTGAGTCTTTTAGATCTATTTAGCACTAAAGAGATGGATGCTTATACGTACTCAGAGACCACTTCCTCTAGAAAGCCTTCCTTCGTTCATAGCTATTACTTCAGGCCATATGGACACCACTATAATCATGTAACTTCCCCTCTGCCACACTATGATGGGGGGACAATTCTCATTCACTTTTGGGTCTCAATCTGATAGCATTTCATTTGTGTCTGTTGGATGGGTAAGTAAATGAACTGCAACCACATTGTGACCCTTTTGTGCCCCTTTTCCTGTTTGTGTAAAGCAAGATTGTGAAAATCAGAACGAGGCTTCTGCGCTACTAACAGGTCAGTGCTAAAGTGAAGTGGTGAGAGATTTAATGAGATCCCATCGTTTATGCAGATCTTTTCATTAAAATAAACACAAAACAATAATTTAAGGCCAAAAAGTAGCAGTTTTTATAATGATGGCTGAACAGGAAAGACAGTGACTCACAGATGCCCGAGAGAGGCAGACGTGGAATAAAAACTGTATCATTGTCTTGTGTAATTTTTGACTGTTCTGTTTTCTTGTCATTTTAGCTGTGAAGTGTGAGACTGAAAAATGTTGCATCAGCCCTAAACTTTATTGAGAAAAAGCATATACTGATGCAAACTTCTTGGACTACTAATGACTTATGAGTAAGTCCCTTGGAAACAAACAGTTGGAAAGAAGTAGTTCTTGAAAGTGGTACGTAGGAGAAGAGAAAGGCATTGCTTTCTGTTGGGCAGATTGAAGGTAGCTTTACAGTTTGTTGGCCAATGGAAAATTATGTCTCAAAAGTCAAAGATGTACCCTTGGAAATACTGCTTTCTAGGAAGTTGCTCCTTGGCTATGGGCAGAAACACATGGAGGGATATATAGTAGCAGCTGCTCTTTGAAGAGTCAAGCTGACTATAGGTTTGGAATCATACTTGTCAGTTTTGTGACTTTGTTTGGGCAAGTCATTGAAAACCCCCCCCCCCACCACCACCCTTTTGTTTTGTTTTGTTTTGAGATGGGGTCTCACTATCCCTGACTGGCCTGGAGCTCGATATGTAGACCTTGGACTAATAGAGATCCCATCCAGGGTGTATTTCAGCTCACTCAGATTTTTATTTCTGATGTAGCTGAAGCCAGCCTTGAACACCTTATCTTCTTGCTTCCACCTTCTGAGTGCTGGGATTACAGACATGCACCAGCATGAACCACTGAGTGAAAAAAAGAAACAGAAAGGAAGGGAAAGCACATGGCTTTCCTAGGTATGGTGGAGGAGAAAGTTTATTATAGATATGTGGGAGAGCGTAGCCAGAGTCCAGAGTGGACATGACCAGACTGAGCTGGGCCATCTGGGAGGAGGGGGGAGAGGAAGAGAGGGGAGAGCAGGGGTACCAGGTGCAGCAGCCAGGAGGCCAAAGGCACAAAGAGAGTGGGAAACCAAATGGTTGGATTATATAGGGAGCAGCTCAACCCCCTGAGTTGGAGAGTTCAGGGTAGGGGGTGGGGTGTGCCAGCCAGGAGGACCCCTAACAGGTAGGGACTGAGGGATGCTGGGAGAACCTGGTGGCCAGGTCTGATTTGATATGTTAAATGGGGCCTCAGCCTTTTGTCCCAGGTTTGAAACCTAGCAACCACCAGGTCACTCTTTTTAGTTTTGTCATATGTAAATGGGAATAATCAGTACCTGTTCTCAACTGCTCTCCTCTTGTTACAAGGATGAAAAATCATCTTTTTGTAAGGTTGTTCCCATCTTCCATCTCCTTATTTCCTAGAAACCTATGTGTAGAGGGTTAACCACGTTTAAGTATGTTATTCCAAGT